GATGCAATCCGACGGGACTCGGGCAGAAATCATGTTCATGGATGAGCTAGTGATTTATTAACGTAGTAGAATGAAGTAGGGTGAGGCTGAAAGCCGTCGAAGCGAAAAGAGGCGCTGAACGAGCGCGACACACGGCTAGAAAGCAGCGGAGCATTTATTATGCCACAGTCGAGCGCTTCAGCTGCTTCCGGTCGTGCGTATGTGGGGTAAAGCAGCGCTGTTTTATCATACTAGATACATTTAGTTCTGTTATAGGAAATCGAACTGGAAATCGAGGGGTTATGACGTCATTATCAGGCGACACAATGACACTATAGACACGCTCCGTGTCACTAGTTAAAACTGCTTATTTCTCTGGATTTAAACATGCTTCGAAACATTTGGGATAATGTAAGTACACAAGTCAGCAAAATATATAACACTGTTCTAGTGGTTTTGGGATATTTTAATAAAAAAATCTTACATATTGTGCCTTTAAATAATGTTTTGTGGGTAATTTCACAGCCAAATTTAATTAATCGACACAATGTAATTAATTAGATTATTAGCCCTAATTCTGATAAAAATGGTGATTTTATTTTTTGCCCACCTTCCTCATGAAGAACTTCTCTTTGAGCCGGTACTCGGCGGCGCTGGCTCCCGGCAGACGCGGCTGGCCGTGGTTGGACTTGCAGCAGATCATGAGGCCGTCGAAGAGGAAGATGTGGCGCTCGTGTTTGGCGCCGACCCGCGTGAGCGTCCCCTCCATGATGAACTCGTTGCAGCACTGGCCGATGTCTTTGCCCTCCCAGCCGTCGATGTTCCTCTGGATCTCATTCATCTTCTTGATGGCCAGATGTTTGCCCTTCATCTGCTGACTGTAGAAGCGGCACGCCGACTCGCTGAGAGACACGACACGACAGACAACCATCAGGAGACAAAGCCAGAAAAACAGGGCTGGGCTGACTATACACTGACGATTCAATCATTTTGATGAGCTGATACTGATTCTGAAATCCTAAGATTGATATTTTAGTCAATGCTTTTTTCAGTTGATTCCTCTAAACTTTATTTGTGGTGCCTATAATAATCACAATAAGTTACTTTTGTTATGAAACAAAGTCTCAGATTTCAAATTCTGTCAGTTTCATCACTAAGTTCACTCATTACATGTGTTTTTGTGGCTCTTTAACGCGTGCTGTCGCTGATCATCTCTTCCTCTTTACTACTAGTTATAGCAGCAAATAAACATGAATGAACATCAGAATCCGAACAACTTATTGATCAATCATGAATCATGTAATCAATCAATCAGTGATTCAACCACAGAAAGACTTCAATAAAACAGCTTGAGATCAATAATGTCATGTAACATCACATTTAAAGACTTTCAATTTAAAAAACATAAACTCGATATTCAACTAGAAAAATAACTCCACAGAGGAGCATTTTGATAAATATATGCACTATATTAAATATTCATTATACAGTCAGGTCCATATATATTTGGACAAAGTCAACAGCTATTTTAGCTGTTGACCAAAACATATTCAAGTTACAGTTATATAATGAATCTTAAAGTGCACACTCTGAGCTTTAATTTGAGGGTATTCTCATCACAATTGGAGGAAAGGTTAAAGAATTGCAGCTCTTTAATATGTACCACCCCCCTTTTTCAAGGGACCATAAGTAATTGTACAATTGACTCAAAAGCTGTTTCATGGACAGATGTGGGCTGCTCCTTCGTTATTTCTACATCAATTAAGCAGGTAAAAGTTCTGGACGTCCACGGAGGACAACAGTGGTGATGATCGGAGAATCCTCATTCGCTTCATAGTACAAATGAACAATGAACCAAAACATACAGCAAAAGCAACCCAGGAGTTTTTGAAGGTAAAAAGTGGAATATTCTGCAATGGCCGAGTCAATCTCCTGATCTCAACCCGACTGAGCAGCATTTCACTCGCTGAAGACCAAACTAAAGCAGAAAGAGCCACAAACACACAACAGCTGAAGTCAGCTGCAGTAAAGGCCTGGCAAAGCATCACAAAGGAG